CCACACCCACACCCACACCCACACCCACACCCACACACACACCCACACCCCTCTTCATTTCTCAGCCTGTTCAGTCAGGTTTCACCACCAAATGAGTTTTGGAGCCCCACTTAGAACTTGAAAATTTTAGATCTGTTTGGATTTTGGAATTCCAGATAAAAGAATGAAGAGCTGTACTTCTCATGATCTCTTTACAGATGGGGAGATGAAGGTACAGAAAGGGTGCTTACTGCCCGGAAGCCGGGAGGCTGACCTGTGCACCCCGGCACCGGCTCCAGCACGTGCTCTTAGCTCCACAGCGGCTGCCTCCACTGTGCCTTCTTTGAGCCACGAGTTTGAAACCACTTAGGAATTTCCGAGTATTCATTTTGTTTGACTGTCTTTTTGTTATTGATTTCTAACTTAATTGTATTGATGTTAGAGAACTCGGTCTTTAGGAAATTTCCAAGACTTACTTTATGGCCTAATGTGGAAGATGAATATCTCAGAACCATTATTATTTGATTTACTTTGGATAAGAAATGGTAGACATTTGTGCTTTGTTGTTCTTTGTTTCAGGCCTTGGGATGGTGACTCCTGTGAACGACCTGAGAGGATCCGACTCCATAGCGTATGACAAAGGGGAGAAATTGTTGCGCTGTAAACTGGCAGCGTTTTACAGATTAGCAGATCTCTTTGGGTGGTCCCAGCTTATTTACAATCATATCACGGTGAGTGTTGAGCGGTGTCATCACTGAATGGTCGATGGAACATTGCGTGTCTGGCACCGTCTCTTTCCATCCAGGAGAAGAGGGGAGCAGGCTGAGCTGCAGTAGGTCTCGGAACGTCTCGTGTTTGATTCCTGACTGCAGAGCACAGTGACCTGAGAAGGAGGCAGTTTGAGTTACAAGTTACGAGAACATTAATTCCTTAAAACTCCTTTCTTCTTGCGTGCTAACTTAATAAATGCGTGTTTGCCAAACTGTAGGCAGTTCCTAAAATTCTTTCCCACTCTGACCAGAGCCTTCTAGCTTTCTCATTTGTTTCTTCAACTATTGCACTTTTTGAACACTACCAGGACCTCTGTTTTCTAAAATACATTCTTTAACGAGTGTTCACGGGCATCTGCTTTCTGGTGGCCAGCAAGGGCTCTAAGCCCTGGTATATCAGCTGGTAGCTGGTGATATCAGCAAACAAGACTAGTCCTGCCCTGGGGGCCCCCTCTGCACCCTGAACCATCAGCCTTTGTTTGCTCGCTGGTTTGTCCAGCTTGGATTTCTGGTCTGGCAGTTCAGTAACGCCCTTTCCAGCCCCCTACCATCCCTCCCTCCACCTGGGCAGCCAGAGGCTGCTGGGGACGGCCTCCCGGCAGAGCCATTGGCTTGCTCCACAAGTTCATGCCACCACAGCACTGCCTGCACCCTGAGGGCACCTCTCTGCCACTGTCCAAATCTGTCATAGCATCCAGACCTCCTGTACTCTCTTCGCAACTCCTGACCCCTCTCCCAGTAGATGACCTCATCACGTCACAGAAAATTGGAGCTCCTTGCCGACGTCTCTGCCGTTCTGTACTCCTGTCCTCCTGTTACAATGTCCTACCTTTCAATTGTGGTGTCGGTGAAGAATACTGAATATACCATGGACTGCCAAAAGAACGAACAAATCTGTCTTGGAAGAAGTACAACCAGAATGTTCATTAGAAGCAAGGATGGCAAGACTACGTCTTACATACTTTGGACATGTCAGGAGGGACCAGTCCCTGGAGAAGGACATCATGCTTGGTAAAGTAGAGGGTCACCAAAAAAGAGGAAGACCCTCAGCGAGATGGATTGACACAGTGGCTGCAACAGTGGGCTCAAGCATAACAACAATTGTGAGGATGGCGCAGGACTGGGCAGGGTTTTGTTCTGCTGTACATGGGGTTGCTAAGAGTCAGAACTGACTTGATGGCACCTAACCACAACAGCCACCTCCCACCTGTGGCCATACTTTGCTCTCTGGGCTTAGAATTCCGTCTCCTGCCTTCTCAGGTTCCTTGTTTATTGTCAGGTTTCTGTGTTTTTACTCTTTTGTGGAGTTAGCCTCTTTCTTTGCACTGCTTCCCTCCTAATCTCCTGTTTTTTTTTTTTTTTTGGAATTTTTTATATTTTTTTATTGTACTTCAGATGAAGGCTTACAGAACAAATAGTATCTCATGAAACAGAAGTACACATGTTGTTTTATGACATTGGTTAACAACCCCACAACATATCAACCCTCTAACTTCTCAACCTTCCTAATCTCCTGTTTTGAGGTCTGCTTTCTTTTATTGGATATTTTAAGTTATTAACATAGTACATGTGTATTCTAACAAGCGATACCTATGCAGATTTATGAAGAAAGCGTCTCAGTCCTGTCTCTGGAGTCAGCCAGTGCTAACAGCTGTTTAGATCATGTCACCTCTTCTGCACACTCACGCGCAGAGGTTTTTCAGACGGGGACTCATCACCAGCAGGTGCTTAGTTTAGCTCTGTTCTGGACTCAAAAAAGGCATAGTAGTCCTTCCAAGGTGCAGGGCTGGAGCTCGTCCTTGAGACCAGTGCATGCTGCGTTGATGTATTAACCTCTGCTAGTATGGTGAGCTGGCCCCTCTCCCTGGCCCCCTCTCTGACACTGCTGCAGTGAACTTTCCACAGTGTAGACGGAGCCTGGCACACCCAGACCTGCTGCGCAAGCTACTGCTGTACGCGCGTTACCCCACCAGCCCAGCCTGACTCCCCTTCTCTGCAGCTTTCCTTGCCTGGTGGCAGTTACCATCAGGCCGCACAGCATCATCCCTGCTGTACCCCCAGGACCGGGTATGCTGCCTGGCACATAGTAGGCATGTAAGAAGACTTAGTTGGGTGAACAATCGAATGAAATCCCCAACTGAGCTGAAATCCTACCTCAGGAAAACCATCAAGCACGAACTTCCTTGTGCCTCTGATATCGATCAGTGGGTCCAGTTAGCCCACCACAGGTGCCAGCTCTCTTCCTTGTGCCCACACGGATAATTGCTGGCATCTCTGGCTGATTATTCTGGGCAGAGTGCAGTGTGTGCAGGTGTGGTGCTCCATGGTTTCCTAAAGATTCGGTCCGTGAGAATGGTGGGTGCAGCTGTAATAGCAAACATGGGCCGGGGCTTTTTCTGGGCAGCTCACATTCTTTGGGGTTTAAAATACCATTTACCTGTAGTCCTATCATGACTGCTGTTTAAATAAATTTGCATTGCTTAAATTGCTTGCTTTTTCCTTTAATTGTTTAGGACTTGGCAGAATTAAGACAGTGAAGTGTTTGGTCTTCTGTGAGTGATCCTCTTGGTGTTCAATATTGAGTAAAAAGAAATCTGGGTTACCAGAAGTATTTTCTGTCTCTTTTAAAGAGTGAACTAGAGAACATTTAAGGAAGTTGTTTTTTTTGATAGTTTATGGCATGCTTTTTTTGTTTTACAGTCTAGCTGCTATTATATAGACGTTTAGCAGAAAAACAAATACTAGCAGTATGTATTGGTGCAACAGGTCATTCTGAAAGAGGGTCATAGAGATTTTCTGCTAAAGCGATTTAAAAGTTCTGCCAGGTGCTACAGGATTACTGATGATTGTCTGAATTAGATCTCCATTTTAAGACTGTGCAGGATTAGAGGAACCTCTGCTGGGGAGCAAGCCTGGGCGGCCCAGTTAGCACAGTGGGATGGGCCTCTTCTCTTGGTGGTACTTAGCTGGTGGCTAGTCTCCCTACAGCCTCGGTTCCTCTCTGGGTCAGTGAAGTGCTTTCAGGGCTAACACGTGCTAAAATGGCAGGTGTTTAGTTCAGCGCTCCATTCTGGGCTCAGGAACATTGACCCCCCACAGCCACGGTCTGCAGCCCACCTTTCATGAACGATGCATTGTGCTTCTGGGACTTGATACTGCCCTCTGCTAGAGATACTGAGTTAGGGGTGGTTTTTGTTTTCAGTGAGTGTCCCTAAAATGTGCTACATTTGTGTCTTGTTCTCCTACACAGAGGATGGGGCACTAGAATGCGGAAGGAGAAGCAAAGACACCCGTGCTGGTCCCGTTGGGGAGGAAGCACTGGTAAAGGCACTTGCTTTGAAGAGTCATTCTCTTATTTTCACTTGAAGTCTGTACGGAGCACTTTCTCCATTTTGTTGCAGACTCAGAGAATCTTAGGTTTTAAGCTTTTTCCATTAAAATTTGTAGAGCTGTTGTGCTCACTCTTGGTGATATATCCTAAGGAAATAAGTCGAAGAAATCATGTATGTACAAATATATTAAATTGAAACATTTATAATAATGAGAAAATGTTGAGAGTCTAAATATTTAGCAGTAGGTGGTGAAATGACTTGGTTATTTGACTCCATCTGAGGTAATGTTACACAGTATTAAAAAATATTTATAAAGACCATGTGGAAACATGGAAAATGTTTATTAGAAAAAAATATATAAAATATATACTCTTTATGAAATTAAGTATACATATCTACAAAGAAAACAGATGATTAAAAATGGCTATGTAGTATTTTTTTAATGTGAACCTGACAGCATGATTCTAACATTTATACGGAAGAGCAAAAGGCCAAGAATAGCTAAGACACTCTTGAAGAACTAGGCAAGGAGATTTTTCCTGCCAGATGTCAAACTTACTATGTAAAGTGATGGTAATTAAGATAGTGTGCTTGAGCAGAGGAATAGACAATAGACCAGTGGAACAGAGTGTAGAGTCCAGGACCAGATCAACATGTATGGAAATTAGATATACAAAGGAATTGCATTGCAGATGCATGGAGGAAGGATGGACTAGGCTATAATGGGTGCTGAATGAAATTATACTGGGGAGCCCTCCCTTATACTGTACATACTCACAAAGCAATTCCTGTGAAGAAAGGGGTTTATGTGAAAGAGAATACTATAAAAATTTTAGAATCAATATAGGTGAAAATGTTTGACCTTTAACTTGTGACCTGAGGAAAGACTTCTTTAAAAAAAAGCACCTGTCATAAAAGAAGAAATGAGTAAATTTGATTACATTAAAATGAACACATTCTCTTTTTTAAAAAACACCATAAAGAGTGAAAATAAAAGCCACAACCTGGAGATTTTGCCCTGCATGTAACCAACAGAAGATTAATATCCAGAATAGATAAAGAACTATTGATCATTAAAAAAAGACAGATCAGTAAAAAATGGGCAAAAGATGAGAGAAATTTCAGAGAAGAGGAAATAAAAATGGCTTATCAAAAAAGAAAAAATGCTCAACTCATTAGTAATCAGGAAATTGTAAATTAAAACCACAGTGGAATACCATTTCACAGACATTGGATCTAAAATTTTTAAAAGAAGTACAATACCAAGGATTAATAAGGATGTGGAGACTCAGGTTTTAGCGGAACTTCCAGACTAAGACAGACTGGGAAGAAGGACCTGGCAGTCTACTTCTGAAAAAATAGGCCAGTGAAACCTTACTAATAGCAGCGGAACATGGTCTGTATAGTTCGGAAGATGAGCCCCTCAGGTTCGAAGACACTCAGAATACAGTTGGGGAAGAGCTGCCTCCTCAGAATAGAGTTGACCTGGATGATGTGGATGGAGTCAAGCTTTCAGGCCTTCATTTGCTGATGTGTCACAACTCAAAATGAGAAGAAACAGCTGCAAACATCCATTAATAATCGGAATGTGGAATGTACAAAGGACGAATCTAGGAAAATTGGAAGTCA